CTTGGAAGTCCGAGGAGGAGAGTCCCGAATGGCGGCAACCTTTGAGGGAAGAGGCTGAATGCCATGGGAGTCGACCAGATGACCGAGAAATTCTAGGGAGGGCACACCGAAGACGCACTTGGACGGGTTGAGAACAACGCCAAATTGTTGAAGGCGGTCAAACACCGTTGCCAGATGCTCCATGTGTTCTTCGGTGGTGGAGCTGGCTACCAGAAGGTCGTCGATATAGGCGTAGACAAATGGTAGGCCGCGAAGCACTCTGTCTACAAACCTTTGGAAGGTCCGGGAGGCGTTGCGAAGTCGAAACGGCATGCGCAGGAACTCAAAGAGGCAAAAGGGGGTGGTAACGGCCGTCTTCGAAACGTCCTCTGGGGCTATAGGAATTTGGTGGAAAGCACGGACTAGATCGATCTTCGAGAATACAGACTTGCCGAATAGGGCACCGGCATAATCCTGAAGATGTGGGACAGGGTAGCGGTCCGGGACAGTAAAGTTGTTCAGGGCCCTGTAATCACCGCAGGGGCGCCAGTCACCAGTGGCGGCCTTTGGAACCATGTGGAGGGGTGAGGCCCATGGGCTTTCAGACTGGCGGATGATGCCCATTTGAAGCATGTGCTCGAATTCGGCCTTGGCGGCAGCAAGACGTGTAGGCGCGAGACGGCGGAGGCGAGAAAACACGGGAGGGCCGGTGGTCCGAATGCGGTGAACAACGTCATGTGGTGGAATAGAAACGTTGAAGTTGGGACGAGTGAGGCCGGGGTATTTGGCGAGGAGTTGCCGAAATGGATTCTCGGGTTCAGGGTCCAAGACGGCAAGATGACGGGAGGTGTCAGAGGAAGAGATACCCTGGACAGTGAGGTTGGTGGTCTTGTCGTGTAGACGTGACTGACGGCAGTCGACCAGAAGATCGAAAGCGGCGAGGAAATCTGCACCGAGAATTGCACAGGGGATGTCAGCAACGACGAAGACCCAAGGGAAGAGACGCCGGAGACCGATGTCCAGAGAGAGGGAGCAGGTGTCAAATGTGGTAATCGGCGATGTGTTGATGACCTGTAGGAATAGACCGGGATTGGGACACCGACGATCAGCTGGTGTGGGTGGAATGACACTTAGCTGGGCACCAGTGTCAACCAAGAAACGTCTGCCACTCCTGGTGTCGCGGACGTAAAATGTGTGATTAGGGTTAGAGCCGTCGGAAATATTGGCTGCACAGACCTTCGGGTTGACCGGTTTAACCCGTTTGCTCTGCTTGGAAGTGAAGGAGCAAGGAGAGATGCAGCGACGGGCTTTAGCACCGAAGGTGGTGTGGTAGCAGCAGGTGGCAGCTGCATTTGGACGGGCTGAATGTGAAGACTGGACATGCGGGGTGGACGGCTGCGGTTGGCTCCGAGATGAGGCAGAAACTGTGGGCTTCTGGAGAGCGGCTATATCATCGGCCAGTTTGCTGAGCTCGATCTCTAACTGCGAAACGGGAGACGCAGGAGGAGTTGAGGGAGTTGAGAGTGCTGAAATAGACGGCTTGGAAAAACCGTGCATCTCCATAAGCCGATCAGCCATCTGAGTAAGTTGCGTGGCCGAAGGAATGCCGAAGGCGGGTGCCAAAATATGCTGCACTTCTGGTGGAAAATTGTCCATGATCAACACCTGACTTTATCGTAGATTAGGGAGAACGAAGATTGCTGTTCGTAAGGAGTCACCAATTGTCGTAAGTTGTGTGGTCGACAAGATAAAGATTCCCAAGCAAAAGTCAGGGAAGACGGTTTGAGTTAGACAACCTTTACTGCCTGAGGAAGTGCGTATACAAGGGCTCTGCAGGCAGTCGCCGCGAGCGCGCTCCAAGCCCGCTATTGTCTGGGTCCGCTATCGAGGAGTTGTGTCCGCGTGTGTGTGCGCCCTTCGTTGTCTCAACCTCGCCAGCCAATCAGAGTGGGGACAGCGTTGATTGGCTTCGAGCACTCGCGCGGCCCAGCAGCGTATCGACATGGAGTGTGAGGCGGACAGGACGGCAGCATGACAAAGGCGGAGGGTGAGGAGACGCGAACTGCTACAACGCTAGCTACCCACGCTGACAAAATCAAGGAGTGCTACCCCATTGGTGCCTCGTGTTCCAATATTCAACAGCCCCCGCCTTCCAAAGGCAAACCCCATCAGGGCATTGACTTTGATTCAGAAGGCCCAGCATTATCAGAGCACGACACTCCATGCTGTTGCACAGCCCGATGAGTGCCCACATCAGCCGGTCCTCCCGGAAAACCCATCGACGCTTACCGCACCGATTACGACGACCTAAGAGACACTGTGCGCCTCCTTTGCACTCAGGTGAGCAACATGTGCTCTGCTCTTAACTGTCTTCAATCGGCTAGAAAACAGCCATACTCACATCGTCGGTCTAAATCCCGTGAGCGGCGTTCACAACCCTTATGTTGGTATCATCGCACTTATGGCCCGAAAGCCCGAAAGTGCATACCTCCTTGTTCGTTCGCTCGTCCTTCACAGTTAAACGACCACGCCAGCCAGTAATGGCGACGACTGCTGCTGGCCCGTCGCGACCCAGTCGCCTTTTCTATATCAACGACAAGTCGAGCGGTCTCCGTTTCCTGGTTGATATCGGTGCCGAGGTCAGTGTCATCCCGCCTCTAAGGCGTCACCGCCTCAAGCCTTCGCAATTCTCACTGCAGGCTGCAAATAGCACCACAATCAGCACCTACGGCCAACGGTTCCTCACTTTAGATCTTGGTCTCCAGCGACGTTTTCAATGGGTCTTTATTGAGGCTGACGTCAAATCGCCCATTATCGGGGCCGACATTTTGTCATCTTTCGGCTTAACAGTCGATGTCAGACACCGTTGCCTCACAGATGCAACCACCCAACTCTTTACCGTAGGTACCATTAGCTCTGAACGTTCGGTTGGCATTCATCTCACCATCCCCAGCACCCCTTTCGCTGACATTTTGAAGGACTACCCGTCCATCACTAAACCATGTCATTTTACCGAAACCGTTCAACACGGAGTGAAACATCACATTGTCACGGCAGGGCAACCAGTGCATGCTCGTCCGCGTAGACTCCACCCTGAGAAGCTCCGAATAGCAAAGAACGAATTTGAACATATGATGAATCTGGGCATTATACGCTCTTCATCTAGCCCATGGGCCTCACCACTGCACATGGTGCCAAAGAAGTCATCTGACGATTGGAGACCGTTGTGTGATTATCGAGCCCTAAGCAGGTCCACAATTCCTAACCGGTACCCCATTCCTCACATTCATGACTTTTCCCACACGTTAGCCGGTAAAACAATTTTTTCCAAGATAGACCTCGTCAGAACGTACCACCAAATCCCGGTCGCTGAGGAAGGCATCCCAAAGACCGCTATCACGACACCCTTTGGGCTGTTCGAATTTATTCGCATGCCTTTTGGTTTGCGCAATGCTGCCCAGTCGTTCCAGCGCTTTATCGATGAGATCTTGCGGGACCTTCCATTCGCTTACGCCTACATCGACGACATACTCGTCGCAAGCTCTTCGGCAGAGGAACATGCCCCGCATTTAGGCCTCATATTCGATCGTTTTCAGCAACACGGTTTGCAATTAAACGTCGACAAATGCGTTTTTGGCGTTAATTCTCTCGATTTCCTTGGCCATCACGTCGATCAGCACGGAATCACTCCACTTACAGAAAAGGTGCAATGCATCTTGTCTTTCCCTGTTCCCAACACACTTACTCAGCTGCGACGTTTCATAGGCCTTATTAACTATTACAGACGTTTTATTCCCCATTATGCGGCAATCCTGGCTCCCTTGACTGACCTTTTGAAATCGAAAGCAAAACCTATTGAACTTTCACCGGCAGCCCATACAGCTTTTGAGGAAGCAAAGAAGGCTCTTGCCGATGCCACCATGCTGCACCACCTCAGCTCTGACGCTCATGCACAGCTTATTTTGACCACTGACGCTTCCAGCAGTGCTGTCGGCGCAGTCTTGCATCAACAGGTGAATAACCAGTTGCAGCCTTTAGCTTTCTTTTCGCAGAAGCTACAACGGGCGCAGACTCGCTACAGTACTTTCTCTCTCGAGCTCCTTGCCATCTACTTGGCCATATGTCACTTTCGACACCTTTTAGAGGGCAGAGACTTTTCGGTCCACACCGGCCACAAACCTCTCACTTACTCCCTGAAGGCCAAGCCAGATCGGTATTCGTCCAGGGAAGTTCGTCACCTGGACTATATATCGCAGTTTACTGCAGATATCCGCTACGTCCGAGGCAGCGACAATGTCGTTGCTGATGCATTATACCGTCCGGACATCAACACACTCACATCCGATTTCGACCTGGCGAAGCTTGCAGACCTCCAAACAGCAGACGAGTTTATCGCGGACTTACGTACGTCTACTACTCTTCAGCTTCGAGATGCACCACTTCCTGCGTCACCAGGTACGATTTTGTGCGATTGGTACACAGGCACCCCTCGTCCTGTTGTTCCACCATCCTATCGTAAGGTTGTCTTTGACCACTTTCACGCCCTCTCTCACCCTGGCATTCGCGCCGGACGCAAGTTAATTGCGGCTCGTTTTGTTTGGCCGAAGATGAATTCCGACATTGCTCTTTGGACCAAACAGTGTCTCACATGCCAGAAGAACAAGGTGCATCGACACACCTTCTCCCCTCCAAGTACCTTTGCGGTCCCGGACATTCGATTTAATCACGTTCACTTGGATTTAATCGGACCGTTACCCCCTTCACGTGGGTACACACATATCCTGACGGCAGTTGACCGTTTCGCACGATGGCCGATTGCCGTTCCTATCTCGGATACCTCGGCAGAAAATATCGCCATGGTTTTTCTGACCCACTGGATCTCAACTTTTGGTGTTGCAGCCACCCTTACCACTGACCGCGGAAGTAAATTCCAATCTAGCCTCTTCCGTGCGTTCACTAGACTGCTCGGGTGTGCGCATATCACAACCACGGCATACCATCCTGCCTCCAACGGCCTCGTTGAGCGTCTACACCGCCAACTCAAGTCCGCACTGATGTCCCAAACAGAGTCAGCCACTTGGAGTGTCAATCTCCCTCTTGTGCTTTTGGGCATCCGATCTTCTGTCAAGGAGGACATCCAATGCGCTGCCGCCGAACTTGTGCACGGTACATCCCTCCGTCTGCCCGGCGAATTTGTTCAGCCTTCCACGACAAACACTAACATCGCGAGCAGCTTCGTACAGCAGTTGAAACAACGCATGGCTCAACTGCGTCCAACCCCCACTCGTCTGACATCGAAACATGTGTTTGTACACGAGGACCTTAAATCTGTCCCCTTTGTTTTCGTCCGGCATGACGCAATGCGCAAGCCCCTTTGTCCTCCCTACTATGGCCCATATAAGGTCGTTCAGCGGAAAGACAAGTTTTACGTCCTTCAGAAGGCTGATAAGACTGACACGGTCTCCATTGATCGCCTTAAGCCAGCCTATCTGGAGTGCCTCCCGTCGACCAGTGCGCCATCCATTCCCCCTACTATGTCCACACCCGATACACTCACTCCGCTCACCTACCCTCCATCACCACACTCGACCATTCTACCCACCCAAACGGATCCTCCTCCTACACCACCGCCCATTTCATCTCGTTCCGGTAGACATATCCGTTTTCCCGCCAAACTTAAAGACTTTGTAGTGTAATTTTTTCTTTTTCCGTTTTATTTTATCGAGCGTTTTGTTTCTTTGGAAAACGCTCTGGTGGGGGAGTTGTGTAGGCTTTTGTACATTTTCGATTTGTTTCACTGCACTTTCTTGTACACCTGACTTTCCTGTACATTTGTTGGACTAAACGGAAATACACATTAACAACTCTGCGGCGGTCAACGTGTGTTCTGGTTTCGAGTGTGCTTGAAGTTGTTATTTTTTGGTCTTCGCTTGTAACCTCTCAACATTCTTAGCAATTCTTATGAACTGACGGAGACTCCCTCCTCACAAGCCTACTTCACCATATCATCGCGGAACCGACTGCCTCTATTCAACCGGTCCCTCGTCGGAATACTATCTCGCTACTCGAGAGGATTCTACTTTGCGTGAGACTGGAACATTCCTTTTCTGATTCTTCGAATCTGTACATCCTCTTTTTTGTTAATAAACACAATTCCTCCATTTGGATTTAGTTTTTTCCTGTGTATATTACTGTTTGTAGTTTTTAAGTCCACGTTTCCATTACATAACTTTCACTAACCTATAATTAATAGTAATATTAATTAGTCTACTAATAGGCATATATTTCTTCTGCATATATGTATGCGTGGTATATATCACAGCAAATTAAACACTTAATTTGCTGCTAGAAATATGTTTATTTACCGAATAATTTTTTCTGAGATACTTTCTGATACATTAATAGTGATATAAATTTATATCAGCATTTTCTGGCATTCCCTAATAGCAATGACTAGCGAATCGAGACTCGCTGCTCGCCTCTCGCTCACAACTGGCCTCTGATTGGTTGACTGCAGTCGTGGCAGCATGTATCCCAGAGACGCGCACAAGTGAGTGTATGCTGATATGCCGTCGACTTTTATCGATAGGACGGTGTGCTCGCTTGGCATGGTCGCCCCTGCAGGCGCCCATGGGCGTCACTTCCTGCCTTGCCTTGCCATGCCGCTGAGCGCACGCATTGCTGTCGTGTGCTTTACCTTTTCTGTTAACCCATAGTATTGAGTTTTACCGTTTTCATTTCTGTCATGTTCAGACCAGTATCTCGGAGAACTCATCGTAGGCGTGTCGGAGAGAGTTTAGAAATCGTATACTTGCAATTGCCGAGATATTGAGGGAGAAGTACCCGCCAAAGTCATCATCTTCGTCCACCTGCACTTAGTCAATAGACGCCCCAACGTCCTCTTCGGAGGACACATCGACCTCGACGACTGAACAGTGGCACAGTTATTTTGAAGAACGTCCGATGCCCTTCCCAACTGAAGTGGATGTAACCTCACGCCGCCTGCTGCTATCCTCGGCAGTTAGTTCCAAAATACCCCACCAGCATCTGACCAATCTGCTGAAGATTATGAGGCAGATGAAGCCGGAGGAGGTGTCAAGCATGCTCTTGGACGCCCGAACACTTCTCGGCGGAGCAGGCGATCTGCCACCGGTAACGGCATTGGACGGCGGTGAGTACGTTCACTTAGGACTTGTAAAACAGTTATCTGAGCAGTTACGTGCCTTTTCCATGCATGTGATGGGCGTTGAGATAGTAGCTTTGTTGGCCATCGAAGGTCTTCCTATTCATATGAAGACCGAAAGAGAATTTAGGCCGAATTATCCAGCCTTTTGTTAGTCATATTTTCGCTGTAGGAATTTATTGTGGGCAGGGAAAGCCGCCCGATGTTCAGTCATTTCTATGACCTCTGGTAGAAGAGTTAAGAACCCTGGCAATTTCTGGTCTGCGTCGACGACATCGACAGAACTCTGCAGTTCCGCCGGCTAGGGCATTCATTAAGCAAATTAAGAACTTTAATGCATACTCCGGTCGTGAACGTTGCTATGTAAAAGGGGAGTACCTTGACAAGGTAGTTTACGACAGTGTCTCTGAGCCTGCTAGGACGGATGAGGACTTCTTGACTCCTGTTGATGTCAGCCATCGAGTTGGCATTTCCCCGTTGCTAGCTTGTAATCTTGGAATGATGAGTACATTTCCTTTAGACCCCCTTCATTTAGTTTACCTAGGTGTAATGAGACGGCTGTTGAGACGGTTAATGAAAGGCTAAAATCACTGAATGCGTACCTGCCACGTCAATTTTCGCAGCGTGCCAGGTCTCTTAATGAAGTAGACACATGGAAGGGCACGGAATTGCGTCAGTTTCTACTTTACACAGGCATAGTGGTGATGCGGGAAATTCTTCCGCGTAGGTATATTAAGCATTTTTCATTACTTGTCACTACAGTACGCTGTATGGTTAGGCCTCAGGCCTGCAAACAGTGAGTTCCCTTTTGCAGGCATTTGCTACGTAGGTTTGTTGAGAAATCTTCATCTTTATATGGTAAGGCCGAATTGGTGTACAATGTTCACAGCATTATCCACCTACCGGACGATGTCCTACGACACGGTCCCTTGGATAGTTTCTCGTCGTTTCCATTTGAAAGTTTCCTGGGCAAACTGAAGCAGATGCTTAGGAAACCGTCACAGCCACTGCAGCAGATAGTACGTCGGCTAGCCGAACTACATGCCGAGTGTCAGGCAGAAAGCAGTCAAATGCAGTGGACTTTTAAGTATGAACATTCTAATGGCCCATTGCCAGAAACGGGTGGGTGCTTTAGTCAGTTTAAGTTTATTTATATCAATAACCTCCTTCTTGGGACGTCACCTAGTGAAAGATCAGTAGTAATCGATGGAAAGTTAATTTGCACCCAAAACATCATCCGTTATGCATCAGGCAACGTAGCAGTAGTTTATGTTGAGTACGATAACATAGATTATTTTTCTATCCAACCAATTCATCGCAATTAAAGATTTTCAAAAATACATGATAAATTATTTTAAAGGGGGCTGAAACAGGTTAATAACCACAAACAGCTGCCTTATTATTCCTTTAGTTCCCTTTAAATGTATTTATCAAGTATTTTTGACATAATAATCTTTCCGGAATTTTTTCATTCTTCAAGTTAAAGTTTTTGAGAGCAAATTAAATGATACGCCTCGCATGCCGTTTACTAAAACAAAAATATTACCAAAAGGGATAATGAAAAGAGTTATTGATTTATTAATGTAGCTGGGTTTTTCTTCTTACAGGAGCCTGCCGTGGACGAGGATTTCCGTCAACAGTACACGGCCGATTAATTGACACAACTATACGGATCTCTATGTCATACGTCCCATGCACATACTCCTCTACCCCCTTTTATATTTTATATGTTCAATAAACTTCCACATGCACATACTTGCTGTCCATTGCTTTTTTCGTGTAGACATCGGGATGCGTTTGATCTGTCGACGCAATCACTATAGTAAATGAGGGTGGGTAACATTTAGTACACGTAAGGGGTATGGGTGTCCCGCGTTCCAATGTAGAATAGTATAACCTACTGTACGGATAAGTAGCTAAGGGAAAATACCGCTAACGTAATAGTGGGGTTAATATCACGGAGAGGATGGCGTCCTCCTGAACGTTTTTTTCGAGGACGGGGCTATCACCTCCATGGCCCCGCCCAAACGGGGCCCAGCCCCCTCTTGCCCCGGGGGCTTGACGGGGGCAGGCGCTAGCAGGGGAAGTAAATGACATCTACTGGACGTTCTTCATCCATGGCCTTTGACCACTGTTCGAGCGACGTAAGCAGGGTTGTGAGGCAGGACCTCTTCTGACAGAAGTCATTTTGAACTGAATTGATGTGACGGCAGGATGTAGCTAATGATGTAATTGATATTTTAACTATATTTCCCAGCCCTAAAAGCTTTTTCGGGATTTCTGTCTACTGTACGCTCTGCGGGCCCATTTGGATTAAGAAATTGAAGCGTAATCAGCAATTCTTCGAACGATCCACACGTACCTCCGACAGAACTTTCTTTGGGACAACCATTCTCCTTCGTATCACTTCTCTGCCAACAGCACCGCGGGACTCTCCAGATCCAAGAGCGGCTGAGTCGTTTGCCATTTGCCTCATGTTGTTGGCCTGGTTAAAAAGCTCCTCCTACACCTTAAAATGCTTCGTCCCATACCTATAATACCTTGCGCATCCATTGAATTAATAATGGGAGTCGGCAAAACACCATCAGGGCAATGCGCGAAAGGCTCGCCGCAAATGGGCTTCGAATTCAGGTGCCGCCGCGCGGTGGCCAGCGAGATCACCACCAGACTACCAGTGCACGGTGAGCAGGCTGAAATAAATAAAGGAGTAAACATTATTCGTAGTACAAACGACTGCAACTCTGCATATATCGTTGTCAAGCCACCTCCCGCTAAACGAGCAAGGAGTTTAATAAGCTGTATGGATATCAAATACGAAGACGAAGCCTGTACGACATGTTTCGGACTCCTTCAGACGTTTGCGGAAATGGAGAAGGAGATTAAGGGCCTTAAAATGGAGATGGAGGGGCTGAGGAATCTCCCTCGCTATTCATCCAAAGAGAATGAAAGTGAGCGAACATACGCAAACACGGCTTCCTCGGCTGTGTCGACAGAGGAGAAAGAAAGTAGTAGATCTCTAGAGCTTGATATGAATGACAACCAGTTTCTTGTGCGGGAAAAGGGTGGCCAGACGCGATCTCAGCGAACAAAAAGATGTCTTAGGGTACCTCGAAAAGGCACAGAGAGTCAGACAAGGGAGCAAGAGTTGGCTATACCGCAAACAAAAATCATGTCATGAAAATGACAAATGATCAAAAGATCGTAATAAACAGGCAGTCATGCGTTAGTACTACCGAATCAAACCTTCCTAAATCGGTGAATGGCGGTAGTTGGGATATCCGTGATGAAGTCTCTGCAGGTATGATTAAACCACAAGGTCCTATAGTTGATCGCAGTAAATGCATTGTCATAAAGGGCATGCCTGAGTCTGTTCCCGACATTCCAAAGGACAGAATACAGCATAACATAGAAATATTCCAGGAATATCTCAAATCGATCTTAAGAGGAGACGAGAAAGTCCCCGTATTAAAGGCTTTCAGGATGGGCCAAATAAAAGACACACAACATGAACCA